AAAAAAAAACAACTGCATAGGAACCTGGAATGTAAGATCTATGAACCTTGGTAAGCTGGATGTGGTCAAACAGCAGATGGCAAGAATAAACATTGACATCCTGGACATCAGTAAACTAAAATGGACGGAATGGGCGAATTCAATTCAGACGATTATCATATCTACTATTGTGGGCAAGAATCCCGTAGAAGAAATGGAGAGGAAAGGCTGTATTGGGATAGAGTCTCAAAAATGATAGAATGATTTCAATACGAATCCAAGGCAGACCTTTCAGCATCACAATAAGTTTATGCTCCACCACTGGTGCTAAAGAGGCTGAAATGGACCAATTCTATGAAGACTTGATTGATTGATTGATTGATTGATTGATTGATTGATTGATTGATTGATTGATTGATTGATTTCATTTATATGCTGCTCATCTAGACATAGTCTACTCTGGGCGGCTCACAACATAAAAGATAAAAACAATTTAAAATATACACAGTTTTACATTTAAAAAACCCGATATAAAATATAATATCGTAAATTTACAATTTTAACAATTTATTTAAAGCAAACAGTCCCAAGATGGCAAGAATAAAAGAAGAGAAATAAGAAATTAGATTTGCAACACCTTCTAGAAATGACACCAAAGAAAGATGTTCTTCTCATTCTAGGGGACTGGGGTGCTAAAGTAGGGAGTCAAGAGTCAAGATAAAAGGAACAACAGGGAAGTTTGGCCTTTTGAGTTCAAAATGAAGTAGGCCAGAGGCTAATAGAGTTTTCTCAAGGGAGCAAGCTGGTCATCACAACACTCTTTTTCAACAACACAAGAGGTGACTCTACAAATGGACACCACCAGATGGGTAATACCAAAATCAGATTGATTATGTTCTCTGCAGCCAAAGATTGAGAAGCTCTATAACAGTCAGCAAAAACAAGACCTGGAGCTGATTGTGGCTCTGATCATCAGCTTCTTAAAGCAAAATTTAAGCTTAAACTGAAGAAAGTAGGAAAAACCACTGGGCTAGTCGGGTATAATTTAAACCAACGAATACTGTACATATTGGAAGTGAAGAACAGATTGAACTAGATTTGGTGGACAGAGTGCCTGAAGAACTATGGATGGAGGCTCGTAA